AAATGGGGGAAGAAATAGTCTTTTCAACAAATGGTGCTGGCAAAACTGGTTATCCATTTGCAGGAAAATGAAAAAGATCCATACCTCACACCATACACAAAAACTAACTACATATGGATCAAAGACTTAACTGTGAAACTTAAATCATAAAGTTCCTCCAGGAAAAAATACGGTAAACTTAGGGGTCTTAATTTATAGCATAGATTATCAAGCATAATCCAAAATACACAAATAGAAGATAAACTAGATGATTGGGACCATTGTCCAGCTCTCACTTGCATATGAGGCGATTGAAAGTACCATGGCTTGGGTCAGGCGCACTTTAGTCTTCAAGGAGACATCTTTGCTCTTCAGCACTTGAAAGATGTCCTTTGTGTTAGGCCGGAGCAAACTCAAACCACCAACATTTCTGCTAACAGCTTCTTCCGGGCGTCAGGCCCTGATGAGACAGCCTGATAAGACAACCAAGGTGGTAGAACCCGCCCAGGCTGTTAAGCCCCATGTGATGATAAACTTACTCCTGTGAAGCCCCCTCATGCTAATTAGGTGCAGACCCATGCCAATAACTAATTGGACCCCACCATTTCCTTAGTGTCCCCACTTAGGTTCTCTACAAGACTATAAACCCTACCCTCCCCAGCCAGGCGGCGCAACTTCTCGGGCCCCTCTCAGGGACCCATGAACCTCACCCGGGCCCCTCTCGGGGACCCATAAACCTTGCCCGGAAGCGCAGCATAAAACCTTCTCTTTAACCTCAGTTTTGTGCGTCCTCTTCTCCTTACCATGGCCTTACACTTTGCAGCTGATTTTCCCAGTGCAATACATCGTCTGATGTCTTGACTGCTGCTTCCACTGAGTTGATTGTAAAACCAAATAATATGGAGTCCTTGACAACTTCAATCTCCATTTATCTTTATCTCCATTTATCGTGATGCTGCTTATAGGTCCAGTTGTGAGGATTTTTGTTTTCTTTACATTGAGGTGTAATTCATCCTGCAGACTATAGTCTTCAATCTTCATCAGTAAGTGCATCAAGTATAATATAGCTGGTGGGCTTCAAAGAAGCAGAGCATTTTGATGTAAGAAGGATGCTGTCTACTGTTTGATTCAAGATAGATACTTAATGTTATAATTTTTAAGTAGGGAACATTGGTGGTTCAGTGGTAGAATTCTTGCCTTATATGTGGGAGAGCTGGGTTTGATTCCCCACAATGTACCTCAGGCCCAACCACCACTCAGTCAGCAGAGGCTTGTGTGTTGCTGTGATGCTGAACAGGTTTCAGTAGAGCTTCCAGAATAAGATGGACTAGGAAGAATGGCCAAGTGATATACTCCCAAAAGTCAGCCGATGAAAATTGTATGCATCACATTGGTGTGATCTGAAAGCAGTCAAGAGGATAGTGCAGGACCCAGCATGGGGCCTCTTGAATCAGGGGTATACATATTCAACGGCAGCTAACAACAATAGGAACAACAATTTTTTTTTTTTAAATTGTGATTTGGGTGAAAATTTACAGAGCAAATTCACATTCTATACAGCAGTTCACATACACTTTGTCTCATGACATTGACCACAATTTACTACAATACAACAGCTCCCCTCCCACTTCTTCCCCATAGTTATCTCTTCCCTGTGTCCATCCCTCCATGCACTCCTGCCCCCTAAACTGTCTTCCTGTGCATAAGCAGCCCTTCTTTCTCCCATGATTGTTCTCTCCCAGGAGTGTCTCTACCTCAGGTAAATGTTCAACTCATATGCCTGTCTTTTGTTTGGTTGGAAACCACAGGTGTGGGTTCAATTCCAGACCTGAAGGGCAGCTAGGGGCCATAGTCTCAGTGGTTCCACCAGGCTCTATCAGATCAGCAAACCTGGTCACCCCTTCTTTTTTTTTTTTCTCCAAATGATTTTGAGTTTTGTCCACATTGTTCTCCCTCTCTATCAAGGATCTCCTACATAGATCCCCTTCCAAGTGGATGACAGTGGTAGCTGAGCACCATCTAGTTCTTCTGGTCTCACAGTCATATAGGCTGCAGATCGGATGGTGTACCAGTCGCTAGGACTGATTGTTTCCATGACTTTTTTGTTTTCTTCATTCTTCTTTGCTCTGGAGGAGGAGAGATCCATCGTTGCATCTAGATGGCAGCTTGCTAGCTTTTAAGATCCCAGTCGCTGCTCGCCAAAGTAGGAGGTGGAACAATGTTTTGTATAGTATGTTATGCCAATTGAGCTTGATGTCCCCTGTGACAATGGTCTCAAGCCCACAGGTTCAACTACTTGGTCCCTCTGGGTAGCTGGCTGTGACCAAGCAGTGACCACAACCTTGCCTCAGGAACAACAATTAAGGATCATAGTATGTTCATAATATGTCGAGTGGTGGTGGAATTAAGAAAAATGTTATATTACTCCTGTGTTTTATGTTTGCAAACTATTAGCCAATATGTGTAAATGTCTATTTTCTTTTTCTTTTTTGAACGGAGTGCCCCCATTTAAGTGTATAGTGAAGTTCATACTAGTACAACAAACCTGTACACCTATAAGGTTCCAAAATGAACACGGTGAGATTTGTGTGTTTGTGTTTGAAATCGATATGATTTTATTTTTCCAATTTCATTAGCCCAGCACTAAGTAGGGTAGATAGTAGGCACTCTATGCTTTATTTATGAACCGAAATGAGAAAAAAAAAAAAAAAAGTATGGATGTTAAGTTTATGCTGGTCGTGAGAACATGTTGTTTCTACGCAAGGATAACCAGCTAGTTGCTAGTTGTTGCAATCAAAGAAAAAAGCCCTCTAACACTTCTCCCAGGAGTTGTTAGAGCCCCAGAAGACTTGCTTTCACAGGAAAATTGGTCCGGCAGTACCCATTCAAATTTCTCCCAGCAAATCAATGGCTTCCAGCCAACTCCCTTCCCGCTCATTGGCCAACTAGAAACCTCTGCCACATTTTTTTGCCTGCTGCCCCTCACCGGGAGCCAATAAAAAAGATTAGAGGTTCGTAACATAGTGTCATCAAAAATCACACTTGCTATTGGCTATTGGAGCTAGCGATCGAAGAGGGGGCGGGGCCACGTCAGCGGACTATATAAGACGAGGACAAAGGCGGCCCGCTGTCTGTGTCATCCGCCATTTTGTGTGAAGCAAGGTGGCCTCCACGTTCCCTGAGCGACTTCTTCGCTTCTGCCTCGACCGCCCCTTGATTACAGACATGTCTCGAGATCGGTTCCGGAGTCGCGGCGGTGGCGGAGGCGGCTTTCACCGGCGCGGAGGAGGTGGCGGCCGCGGGGGCCTCCACGACTTCCGTTCCCCGCCGCCCGGCATGGGCCTCAATCAGAACCGCGGACCCATGGGGCCTGGCCCGGGCCAAGGTGGCCCTAAGCCCCCTATCCCACCACCGCCTCCGCATCAAGTACAGCAGCAGCAACAACAGCAGCAGCAGCAACAGCAGCAGCAGGCACCGTCGCAGCAGCCTCCGCCACAGCAGCAGCCACCGCCACCGCCGCATCAGCAGCCGCATCAACAACCACATCAGCCGCCACCGCCGCCACAGGATTCTTCTAAGCCTGTCGTTCCTCAGGGATCTGGCCCGGCGCCTGGCGTAGGCAGCGCTCCACCGGCCTCCGGCTCCGCGCCTCCCGCCACTCCTCCGACCTCTGGGGCCCCTACAGGGCCGGGTCCTACTCCCACGCCACCGCCGGCAGTCACTTCGGCCCCACCCGGGCCGCCTCCACCCACGCCGCCGAGCAGTGGGGTCCCAACCACTCCTCCTCAGACCGGAGGCCCGCCACCTCCCCCCGCAGGGGTTCCAGGCCCTGGGCCCAAGCAGGGCCCAGGCCCAGGCGGCCCCAAAGGTGGCAAAATGCCAGGTGGGCCGAAGCCCAGTGGTGGTCCGGGCCTAGGCGCTCCTGGCGGCCACCCCAAGCCGCCGCACCGCGGCGGTGGGGAGCCACGCGGGGGTCGGCAGCATCACGTTCCGTATCATCAGCAGCATCACCAGGGGCCCCCGCCCGGCGGACCGAGCGGCCGCAGTGAGGAGAAGATCTCCGATTCGGAGGTGAGTGCCTCCTGTAGCAACGTGTCGGTTTCCTTAAGATGGCGGCGGCCCATTCCTTTTTTTTCCCCCTCCCCCTTCCACGGGCTCCATTTTGTCAGGGACCGGAAAGGGCGCCAGCGCGCTTCGTCTGCAGAGGGCGGGGCCGGTCCTGCTGGAGCGTGGGGGCGGGGAGCGTGAGTCCCCCTAGTCGGGCCCGGGATTGGCTGTCAGCGCCGCCATTTTCACGGGACTGGAGCTGGAGGATGTTGGAAGGTAGGGGTGGCTTCCGAAGGAAGCGGTGAGAACCATTGGATGAGGTAGACGATGCTGGGAACCGAGATTATGCAGAGCGCGAAATACAGGTTTGGAGAGATGGGACAGTTTCGGTCTTAACAGTGCTGGTGAAAGTCATGTCAGTGATAACGGTACTTGGCTCGGTCATTTTCTTTTATTTAATGCTTGGATACCATCTCATTTTGGTCTTTAACGGTATAGATTTGTCATGGACATTGTGGCATATGAGGTTGATATGATCAACTTTCGGAGGGGGAGTGTGTCTCTTGAGAGTGCTGAATGATTTGGACATCTTTTTTGATGCTGTTGTCCGACGGCAACTATATGAAATATAACTTTGATTTTTAATTTTAATGGAATAGGAAAAGAATCTGACCGATAGCACAGTCTGAAGACTAAAGTTGTTTTTGGGTTTTCTACTTGGAGAGGACACTGGTGTCTGAAAATTCCCTTCTTTCTGCTTTAGGGATTTAAAGCCAATTTATCTCTCTTGAGGAGACCTGGAGAGAAAACTTACACACAGCGTTGTCGGTTATTTGTTGGGAATTTACCTGCCGATATCACAGAGGATGAATTCAAAAGACTTTTCGCTAAATATGGAGAACCAGGAGAAGTTTTTATCAACAAAGGCAAAGGATTCGGATTTATTAAACTTGTGAGTGTAATTTATGTAGAATTACGCATTTTTGTGGATGCTACAAACAAACTGAAGCAGACGAGAAGTGATGAAGGCTTGGTTTTAAACCAGAAAGAATAAATTGGTCTAAAATTTTCATTATTAGGGAACAGATGCAGCTGCTCTGTAGGGCACAATTGATTGATGCCTAGGCATGAGTTGAAATCAACTTGATGGTAACTGACAACAAGAAATAGTAGGGTGGTTGGTTTAGGTATTTTATTTTAATCTATTCTGAGTGGTCTTAGGAAAGAGCTGTAGGGGGAAAAAAAAGCTTGAACTGAGCTGGAGGGAAAAATTGGAGTAGGAGTTAAGTATATGACGGTTTCCTAACTGACTATTGTCTCTTAAAATTTCAGGAATCTAGAGCTTTGGCTGAAATTGCCAAAGCTGAACTTGATGATACCCCCATGAGAGGTAGACAGCTTCGGGTTCGCTTTGCCACACATGCTGCTGCCCTTTCAGTTCGCAATCTTTCACCTTACGTTTCCAATGAACTGTTGGAAGAAGCTTTTAGCCAGTTTGGTCCAATTGAAAGGGCTGTTGTAATTGTGGATGATCGTGGAAGATCGACGGGGAAAGGCATTGTTGAATTTGCTTCTAAACCAGCAGCAAGAAAAGCATTTGAAAGATGCAGTGAAGGCGTTTTCCTGCTGACAACGTAAGTTATCTTGTGGTCGTTACAATAAATTGTTTGTCAAATTGTAAGAAAATTGCGGTAACACTGGAACCATTTTTGTTTTTATTAGAACTCCTCGTCCAGTCATTGTGGAACCACTTGAGCAGTTGGATGATGAAGATGGTCTTCCTGAAAAACTTGCACAGAAGAACCCAATGTATCAAAAGTAAGGGTGATTAAACTTCTAGTGTAAACAAACCTAGTAATTTTCCAGTTTTGCTTAACATAACGTAAAAGTCTTTGAGATGCTTCTTTATAAAAACTGGAGGCTCAGAAAATTACAAGCTTTTGAAACTGTTCAAATGATACTGTTTCTGTGATTTACGCATTCATGGAGTCCTGTTTGTGTGAAATGCAGGTATTCCTGTTTTTGGGGATGAAAATAAACCTTGACAATGAATTTGGCTAGAGGAGAACAAAACTTTGGAAACGAGAAAGCTAGAGTTTGTGTCCAATGCCTGTGTTGTCTAATAAAGTGTTTTGGGAAGTATTGTTTTTGCTGTGAAGTTACTGTGTATGAACTAAGGTTGCCTTTGACTTGTGGTACTCATTTCAAGTGATAGGCCAGTAAAGACCAGTGTATTTAGTGAAATCAGTAGTTTCTGTGTGTATTCATGTACTATTTCATACTTAAATTTTGTGCATTTTTAGGGAGAGAGAAACTCCTCCTCGATTTGCCCAGCATGGCACATTTGAGTATGAATATTCCCAGCGCTGGAAGTCCTTGGATGAAATGGAAAAACAACAGAGAGAACAAGTTGAAAAAAACATGAAAGATGCAAAGGACAAATTGGAAAGTGAAATGGAAGATGCCTATCATGAGCATCAGGCAAACCTTTTGCGTCAAGGTAAAAAGATCCTCTGGATTCAACTATGTTGTTGTTAAGTCCTGTTGCGTGGGACCTGACTCACAGCGACCCCCTCCTTGGGTTTCCGAGGCAGTATCACTACGGAAGTAGATTGCCCCATCTTCCTTCCAAGGGATGGCTGGTGGGTTTGAAGTGCCTTAGGCACTACACTACCAGAGCTCCCAGATTCAGCTATAGCATCATTTAATTTTTTAATTCATCAGAACATCATTAATGTGAATCCAAAACCTTTTCCAAAATTCAGATCTGATGAGACGTCAGGAAGAATTAAGACGCATGGAGGAACTTCATAATCAAGAAATGCAGAAACGCAAAGAAATGCAATTGAGGTGAGCTTTTGTTAAATTAAGCCTTTGATTCTGCACTAGTGTTTGTTATAGACAGTTAGAAAATCAGTTTTGCAGGTGAGTCAGGTGAGATGCAGAGGTTAAACATTATGTCAATTGGTTTAACATTTAAAATGGAATGTAGTATAAGATTTTCATTAATAAAGCTTTTTTCTTCACCAGAATGCCTCTAATGCTATGCCCCTAGATTCACTCTGGGCCTTCTATTTATTTATTTTGCTCTAATTTACACTTTATGAAGTTCTTAAACATCCTACTAGCATAATCAAATTGGATTTAGAAGATAATGGGTAACATTTGGTTTATTTGATGCATGGATTACTTCCAGGCAAGAGGAGGAACGACGTAGAAGGGAGGAAGAGATGATGATTCGCCAACGTGAGATGGAAGAACAGATGAGACGCCAAAGAGAGGAAAGTTACAGCCGAATGGGCTACATGGATCCAGTGAGTTTTCTAATTGGAACTGTTGCAAACCTTGTAAGAAGTCCTGGTGACAACAGTGGTTAAGCACTCACTCAGCTGCTAAGTGAAAGGTTGGCTGTACACATCCACCAGTGACTCTTAAAGATTACTGCTTAGGAGAACCTGTGGGGGCAGTTCTGTGCTTTCACGTAGGGTCATTGTGAATCTGTACTAACAATAACAACATGTAGGTGAATCTCACAGCCATTATTTTTATTTTTTTTAAATGTATTTTTGCTTTGTCCAGGGTTTTTATCTGTTCTTGGATAGGCTAAAAGATGTCAGTGGTTAAGAAGAGCCTTTAGAGGCCTTTTAGAGTCTCAAGAACTGTTTTTTTGTATATTGATCTAAAAAATATTCTAGAAAATGAAAAGATTAAATTGTCTTAGCAATTTTATTTTTTTTGAAATTTCTTTGTACTGAAGAATGCTTGATATGGGTGTAGTACAGATGTATGAAAGCAATTTTTTTCTTTCAGAGAGAAAGAGACATGAGAATGGGTGGTGGAGGAGCAATGAACATGGGAGGTGAGCATGGAAATTAAGTAAGCAATATTGTTAGATAACAGTATTTCTATTGAACTATAACCAGCATTTTTATTTCCTAGATCCCTATGGTTCAGGAGGCCAGAAATTTCCACCTCTAGGTGGTGGTGGTGGCATAGGTTATGAAGCCAATCCTGGAGTTCCCCCAGCAACTATGAGTGGTTCCATGATGGGAAGTGACATGGTAATGTATCCTGTGGGACATAGTGCAAAGGAAATTCCTCATTTTCATGACTTATGTGTTTTTTTTTTTTTTTTTTAAAGTAGGTGACTGTGGACTTCTTTAGTTCCCCTTTCATATGTAAATCATAATACTGAGGAATACTTTGGCAAACTAGAGTTCTGTGTGTGGTAACCTAAACAGATAGGGTTGCCAATGAAGAGTCAATGCTGTTAGTAGTATGTGAAGTTATCTTTGGCAATAAGTAGATTTAGGTGCTTTCCATTATGCATTTTTGAACTCTAGTGCATGGCAATCCAAATTCTAAAATGTATTGGATTATTCTACATCTGAGTGAGAGTAAATCAAATGGCAATGTGTCATTCGTTAAGCTGGTATCTGCCATAAGTGTGACTCAAACTTGTAGTTTGTAGCTTTAGGCATATTTTAGTGATGTGTAGGACTTTGACCTATATTTGGCGTGGCTTCTGTCCCGTAAAAGGGAGTTGTTTAGTGTTTTGACTCGTCGTTTCCCACCTGTTGGGCCTGTCTTATATATACTTTAATATAAATGACATCTGTTTTGCTCCAGGGTAGCAAAAATCAGTAATTTTAAGCATACTATTTGTGTGCATTTGATCTGATCTCTCTTGATGCTATCATGTTTTAGCTGTACAGATAGCTTATTAGGATGCTTTAGAAGAAGTAGATTGGTCTGAGTAGCTGCACTAGGATTTTACAAATCCTTATTAGGACTGAAATTTTACTTTAGAGGTGGGTTTAAAGTGCATTTTCACAACTGAATTGAATCTGATTAGTTCACTTATATGCTTTTGACAGAGGGAGGGGACCTTCTGTATGTAGCTCACTAGACTCATTTAAAAATAGGAACATTAGAAGTTAGTATGGGGCCTTACTTAGTTAAAATGTACTTAAGGCTTTTTGAAAATACAGTTAGAATCTTACCTGGTGGGTTAAATGTAATTCTATTTGCTTTCTTCAAATTGAACTTTTAAAAATAATGTGTGTAAAGGGTCCATATCAAACTTGTAAAATTTATAAAACATAATTTCATGTGTCCCCACAGTTAGGTTTTGTGATATACGTTATAGGTAGCTCCCTAGTTCTAAGCTGTAGTAATAACAATTAGTTGTGAAACTCCTCAAACTTTTTTTTTTTTTGCTTTTGGTGGAGTTAGAGCCTACAGTGTAATGTGCTGAAATCCTGAAGTTTTTCTAAATGTTTTGAAAAAACAAGCTTGTTTTTTCAAGTACACTGGTCTTTTGTAGAGAACACATTGAAATTGTGTAGAGGAACAGTTAAACTTTGATTCCGTTTTTGTTTCTCTTTTGGAGTAATGCTCTCAGTAACTAGTCTATTTTAAGTGGAATTTAAAAGACAATTTAGGCTGCTGTGCATTACTTATAGGGTTCTTCTGCTTGGGAATATAATTTCTATTTAAGTCCAGAAAGTACCTGAAACTAAAATGGAATAATGAAATTACTGCTTTATTGCAGTCACATAAGCTTGGTATTATGGTGTTGGGCTGATAACCCAAAACCTGGTATCATAGCAAAGTGTTAGTGGACCTTAAAAGACCAAAGGAAAAGGTTGGGCTGTTACGAGGGTGGGCTGTATGTTCAGTTATTTTGCTACAGCACAGAATAGTACTCTGGGTCATATTGTCTATGGCTGTATAGTGATGGCTCTGAAAGTGGTGAACCTGTGAGAATATGGCAACACGTTTTTTAATCAAGTTACTGTGCCGGTTAAGTGATTAAATCTTTAGTCTTATGCTTTTTCTTTTTGTAGTCTGGTAGCATTTTATTAAAACTTTCAACCTTTTAAGATTTCTGCACCTTAGCAGATGTGTCTTAAGATCTTGAAAAGCACAAGGTTTCTTATGCAGCACATGCCACTAACTGGTGAGTAGGTCTTTGTCACTTCATTGAGTGAATTGAATTTGTCTGGTTGGGCTTGTTAGGCTTACTTGGAAATTAAATTTTCTGTTCAGACCTTAAAAGTGAGATCGCAAGCTTTTCAGTGAGTTACGAAATCTGATGTGAAATTTCTTAGAACTCATTTTGAAATGGGTTTTCACATCTGCACTAATTCTTAAATTTTTTAGCACTGCAGGGAAGATCTGTTCTTTGAAACAGGTGTATGAGAATGGCTCAAGTGGGAACATACCACAAGGCATGTATTACCGTAAACTAATTTTCAAATTACCCTTTTTTCCTTTCTATGTTCCCGGTACCTGTGGATCGACTCATTGGTGATTGTATCGACGAACGTTGACTACGGAACCTTCTAAAATATTTACTTAACACACATGGACATCAACTACATATAATGAACTGTTAATTACTGTTCCAATAGCGTACTGAGCGCTTTGGGCAGGGAAGCTCGGGGCCTGTGGGTGGACAGGGTCCTAGAGGAATGGGGCCTGGAACTCCAGCAGGATATGGTAGAGGGAGAGAAGAGTATGAAGGCCCAAACAAAAAACCCCGGTTTTAGATGTGATATCTAGGCTTTCATTCCAGTTTGTTTTGTCTTTTTCTTGTTTAGATACCACCTTTTAAATTCTTGCATTTTAGTAAGAAAGCTACCTTTTTATGGATGTTAGCAGTTTATTGACCTAATATTTGTAAATGGTCTGTTTAGGCAGGTAAAATTATGTAATGCAGTGTTTTGAAACAGGAGAAAAATTTTTTTTTCCTTTTTTTTTTTTTTTAACTGTATAATGTCCCCTCAAGTTATGGCAGTGTACCTTGTGCCACTGAATTTCCAAAGTGTACCGATTTTTTTTTTTTTACTGTGCTTCAAATAAATAGAAAAAATAGTTATAATACTGATCTTCAACTTTGCCATTCATGCTTCTATGCACATTAGGCTTGATGTTCTACTTTGAAAGCATGAGAGTGTGTAGGCCTTTGGCGTATGCCATCCTGGAAAATTTATTTAGAGGCTAAGTACTGCTTTCTACAAATAACTGTCCCCTTGTTTTAAAAAGAATGCATTTTGAAGCTGATTCATGATTTGATTTGTTTGGCATAGGAAGAAAGCCAGTGCTAAGTATTTTTAAATGGTTAAACAGTCTGAACTGTAAATCTTCATTTAGTTATGTGTATTAAGATTATGGAATGGGTGTCAGAACCATTGATAGGGGAAGAACAGTGCGTTTGGCTAAATGGATCTTTCATGGTCCTATGATTTATCCTTTCCTTGAAAGTTTTTGAAGAAAAAGTAGAAAGATCATAATGTTGCGTTCCCCCATTCTTGTTTTAAAAAAAAAAATCCCAAGCCCTATAAATGGCTTGTATTTGAACTTTTACATTTGAATTAAAGATTATTAAACATGAAGCCTTTTCATGTATTACTTTTAAGTGATTTATAAAGATGGGGTTTAGTCCGAAAAGGTCAATTTGAAAGTAAGGAAGGTACAGTAACCATGAAGCAGGGTCAGTAATCCATTTGTACTCTGTAACTTTCACATCTCCTTGTGCTACTTCTGATGGGCAAAATCCGTAGGACTCTATAAATCCCATTGACTCTCTTTTCTAAGAGCTAGCGGTGACTGGAAATAACAAATAGGTTTGTAGGTAACCAATCTTACTGTAAATTTGTTGACCAGTTTTTTTGGGTTTTCTTTTGATGTAGCACTAAATCTGGAGAGAGTTGCTCATGCTACACAGTACAAATAACCCCTTTCCCTCACACCATAAAGCTTGGGAATGTTTCAGTGGTGTTGTCAGTTAATTGTCAACGTCATTGAATCTCTTTCCATTGCAATAAGACATTTTGATTCAATACTAAATGAGATGGTTTACTGTTGTTAGTACAATGGGAGCCTGAATCCCAGTGTGTTAGTGGAGAAATGACTTCCTAAGAGTAGGTAAAGTAATGAATGGTTTGGCTTTGTTCTTAGTTATGTTTCCATTCAAATTTGTACATTGCAGAACTACTATGGAATTTGTCTTCCTCCTTTTCACTTCTGTTCTTGGTGCTGATTGGCAAAAGTAAAATTCTAAATCAAACCTTTTTTAAATGTTGAAGTTTAGTCATGTGCCTGAGTACAAAGGGAAACTTCTTGTTGAAACAATTGAGTACTTTTCTGAATAGGCAACAGGATAAGACAAAGTAGAAAATTAGTGGAGTATTAAGGCATGTCACTGAATTCTGGTTGTGACTGACAGGCACATGGTGTGCTAATTAAGGCAGAGAATCTCATTTCTGTTCACCAAGACACTTGAAAATGGGTAGTTCTACCATGTCAATAAGTAGGAAGTTTTGCCCCAAGTCAGGTCATTACTTGGTGATACGTATGAGCCTTTTCTGTACAGAAAAAAGGGTCTTGATTTGAAAGGAGTCCATTATAATCTGGATGCATTGTATAGTAGGGACTACTAATAACAAAAAAATAAGAGGTGTTCGTGGGACACCCACAGAGGGTGAACATGAATGTGTGGGCGGGGGCTGGTGGGGAAAATGGGAAAATCTGCCTATAAAATTAATGTTTCAGTTTATTTTTCAGATTTACATGCCTTTCTTTATAAGGGATGCTGGCACAGACCCCTAAAATAAGCTTTGGTAGTACTGTACCTTTGAAGAGTGGTGAAGGATGCTAATGGATAATCTCCTGAAAGTTGTGGCTTTTGATACCCTTACTGTGGGCTGTAGACTGGCTAAACGTTGTTTAGCAAGTAATGTTGCTTAGTTTCAACTGATATTTGACTTTCATCACTGAAAGCAGTGTATCAAGGGTTGTAAGCGACTCAAACTTTCAAGAAGTCTTGCAATATATAGCATAGTTCTCAGCCTAATGTGAATTTAAATCATCTTAAAAAGTAGTTTCCTAAAAGCTGATAATAAAACTTGGGGTGGGAAAGGGAAGATAATAGTTTTGAAGTATTAGCCATTTTTTCCACTTAAAGAAACCACCTGCCCCCATTTTTCTCTTCTCCACTGTCTCTCATAAATTTGTGTTTAGAGGTACCCTAGTCATTTTTAAACTTATTCTTCCCAGTCTTTAAATACTGCATTCTCTTAAGACCACAGTATATTTAATAGGTATCTAAATAAGCTAAGCCCTTTGGCTCACATTTAGAGGAACCATAATCTTCTTTGCTTAGAACATTTATAGAACTCACACATAGTGTAAGCCCCACCACTCTATAGACGTATTAATCACTAATAAATATAAACTACAATTTGGGAAATTGTAATGTTATACCTGTGCAATTTTTCTAAGTGGCATATTATGGCAGATAAAAATTCAGATACTTGGCTTCTCTTGAGCAAGCCACTAAGTTGTGGTGGAATGTTTTCTGGTGTTCTTGGACTGCAATTAATGCACTATTAAAGTAGTGGCCTGCTACATAACTGCATTTAGCCAGCATTTCTGCAGTGCGTTAACTGTGAGGAACGTAGTACCGCAAATGGCAATGGACGTTAGGACCCGGATGTAGTATTCCTGCTTGCTCCAAGATTCTCATTGCCGACTGCATACAGGTAGGTAACAAGCAATATAATATAACTTGGTGACTTGCTATGTACTTTTATTCCGTGGGCATTCTGACATCACACTTCTGACAATGAAATTACAGTGCAGCACCTAACACTTGTATGGTAAAGCTAGTTTATATCAAAACTTGTGTGGGTTTGGGGTAGAGCTGTAATTTGTCAGGCAGAGTTCAGTGCTGTTGCAGTACATTCAGTACTGTTAGATAAAAAGTGCAAACGTTTCTTTGGTGTATCTGACGCAGTTGTATGGTTTTCTCTAGTTGCATTGTAACTGAAGATAACATGGGGCAAACACATCAGCGGTGTGGGGAAAAGGGAACCAAACCATGCTGGGGGAGTAGAGTGCTTTAGCATCTTGACACTGACTTTATAAAGCATCTGATAATTAGTCTCTGTTACAGCAAACTGACCGGCCCGTAGGTCAGCAGTATTAGGAATTTCAGTATGAAATCTTAGCAATTCTTCAGGTTGAGTGAATTAAGACTATAAACACAGTTTTCGGTAAAATGATTTGAAGTTTTTAAAAATGGGCTCCATGGGGAAAATCTTTTATTACTAATTTGGGCTTAGTTGGGGAGCTAATGTGAATAGTTAAAGTTATGTGGCTTGTCTGAATGTATCTGTACTCACAACCTGGGGGACAGTGGTGTGGCACATTGACTTGCCTACAGTTGGGAATCGTTTCCCAATGGTAAGATTCCGGCGTATTGCATAGCATGACTGCAAACATTCAGGGTAGCTTTTTGAACTTGATTCCCTTAGAGTTAGAGATGTGATGTCATAATTCAGAATGCTTAATTACAAGAAAACAATGAGTCTTCAAAAGCACTTCCTTTTGTTGGTTAGGAAGTATGGACTTAAGCTTTGCATCCACTCTTGTTCCAGACCGCAATTCAACTTAACTTTGGTCTCTGAACTGGTTCTTAGCTAGCATGCATGAGAACAGCTTTCATGTATACTGCTTTCTGCTCTGTAATTGGAAAATTTACTTTCCATAAATGCTGGTGGAAACTCTTCATGACTGAGAAATTTCTTCCATTGTATCACGAAAAATAGCTTGCTCTTTGACAATTTACAAGGTGGGGACAGATTTGTACTTTAATATATGTAGTTCTTACATCAAAAAACTTCTGGCTCCTACATGCAACTTTTGGCTCTCAAGTGGTGACTAGTTTAGTCTCTATATTAATAATATGCAGATCAACGATGCTGAGTAAGTGACATGAGTGTCACTAAATTGGCTTAGAACTCTGATGGGTGCTTTCTGTGGTATATTATGTTAAATCGGTGGCCATCAACTTGCTACCATGTAATTTAATGATTGGGCGCTTAGAAGTAAAAGTTAAGGTTTATTTCTTACCATTCAGTGACAATTTTCAGAGAATGTGCTTGGTGTAATAATACGGACTTCAGGAACATAATTGGGTTGGGGGGTTGTTAATTTTGCTTTATTCTTACTAGAAGATGACCAGACTTTTAAACTTAAGAATGAAGAACCTGTGACTAAGAAATCTGTTATTACTAGTTTTAATTTGTGTGTAGTTAAAAAATGGTGACTCTTCAGTGCAGTGAGTATTTTTTAAAAACACTTATTGAAAGAGCTGGGAGTAAGTGGGGTTTTTAAAGTAATAATGCTATACCGAGGTGCTTGCATCGTATTTCATGGTCTTTTTTTATTACAAACCAAAATGATTATTTTTAATGAGAACAGTCTGGAGTTCAGAGGTGTGATGCCAGAATGCATTTTCGTACTGTTAGGCCCTTGGAATAGATACCGGTGCTTTTTGAAAGAAATGCAATGGGTGCTCTTGATGCAAGGTTGCAAACCTACCTGCAAAGAATGCATAGTTTCACTTTTTCCCACTAAAGAGATGCGTGTGACTAGTTTTGGACTTATAACCTTAATGGGGGTTGCATGTATCCTATTGTTAATCATTGTCAGCTGCAGTGACATGATCCACAAGTCCTGCATTTACTACCTTTCCCTAAATGATATTGGACAGGTTTTAGAGAGCCAGGATGTTTGTTCTGGGCCTTCATTTGGTTTTGGCGTTAGCTGATGTATCAGTGCTCTTGTCAGCTAGTGCAGTTCTCATATGACTGCCTATTAGGGAAAGAATTCAGAGGATTGACTGTCTATAATCATCTGTCATTGCTGCTAGATAATGATTGGCAATTTTAAGACTCAACTGTGGAAATCTCACAGTTGTAGGTAACCATCAACCATAAAATGTTGCTTTTAAACACCAGTGCTGAAAATGAAAAGACTTTTTTGTTTTGTTTTTGGAGGGTGAAAATGGGGTTGGACTCAGAATAGGATAAATTGGAGAATGGGGAGG